TCAGAGATCTTATGCTTCCAATTCTTCTCTAGTGGAGTGCTAGCTGGACGACAACCAAGCTTCCCGGTTTCCTTCAACAGATCTAGGATGTATTTTCTTTGAAAAAAGAAAATACCAGTTTTGCTTCTAGCAATTTCCATCCCAAGGAAATACTGAAGTTTTCCAACCTTAACTTTGAACTCAGATTGTAGTAGGCCCTTGAGATTCGTAATCTCATCATTGTCATCACCCGCGATTACCATATCATCAACATACACAATCAAGATTGATTTTTTTCCATCCCTTGACTGTTTTATGAATAGGGTGTGATATGTTTTGTCCTTGTGTGTATCCAAAGCTTTTCATAACTACGCTGAATCAAGTGAACCATGCCCTAGGAGATTGTTTTAACCCATATAGAGACTTCTTCAATTTACACACTGATCCTGGTTTTTCTTTGTCTTTGAAGCCAGGAGTCAGCTTCATGTAGACTTCTTCATCAAGAGTTCCATTCAGGAAAGCATTTGAAACATCCATTTGGTGCAATTCCCAATCCAAGTTGGTTGCCATAGACAAGAGAACCCGTATAGAGTTCAATTTTGCAACTGGTGCAAAAGTTTCTTCGTAGTCAAGCCTGTATGTTTGCGTATACCCTTGAGCAACCAAGCGCGCCTTGTATCTCTCTATTTTCCCTTCCAAGCCTACTTTCACAGTAAAAATCCACTTACAGCCAACAAACTTCTTCCCTTCAGGCATGTTTATAACTTCCCATGTATTATTGTCATTTAGTGCCTTCATCTCTTCCAAAACAGCAGCCTTCCATTTTGAATCTCTCAAGGCATCATATATATTTTCAGGAATTGTTACATTATCAAGTTGAGATACAAATGCCCTGTGAGTGTTAGATAAACGGCAATATGACAAATGATTTGAAATCGGATGTTGAGTACAAGATCTTACCCCCTTTCTTATAGCAATGGGAACATCCAGATCATCAATTGTAACAGCACCTCTTTGTGAATCTTGTGGTGAATCCACCATAGGTTCCGATGATTGGTTTTGCTGAGTAACACGGGGCCTCCTTGAATAAACAATTAGTTCACTTTGTTGTTGGACTGATTCTCTCCCTTGACCGAGACCTGTGGTTGTATCTGGTAGGGGTAATGGTGGAGACTCAGAGGATGGTAAAGTGGACACTGATGGAGACTGGGGCAAAGACACAGGAAGAGATATCGAAGGATCCCAATGATTATCTTCAATTAAGTTCTCCCCCTGAAGAGAATCATGGGAATAGAAAGATTGATCTTCCAGGAATGTAACATCGTAGGATACATAGAATTTTTTTGTGACAGTATTGTAACATTTATATCCTTTTTTAGTGGGAGAGTATCCTATAAAGATACATTTGATGGCCTTTGGATCAAGTTTTCCCCGAGTAGGACTGGTATTATGAACAAACACAGAACACCCGAATATTTTGTGGGAGAGAGTTGAGTAAACGAATATGAGGGAATTCTTTTTGGAGACAACTGACTGGTGTACGGAATTTGAAGGGTTTTGATGGAAGTCTATTGATTAAATAGGCAACAGTTAATACAGATTCTCCCCAAAAATGATGTGGAACAGCACTAGCAAACATGAGTGATCGAGCTACCTCCAACAAATGACGATTTTTTCGTTCTGCAACCCCATTTTGTTGTGGGGTAGATGTACATGAAATTTGATGAAATATGCCATTCTAAATGAAGTAATCTCCAAGAATCTGTGCAAAGTACTCTCCTCCATTATCTGTGCGGAGTATGTGAATGTTGCATTGGAACACATTCTTTATCATTTTATGGAACTGTTGAAACACATACCCGGCATCAGATTTGTTCTTCAAGAGATAGACCCAACAAGCACGAGTATGGTCATCTATGAAGGTGATGAACCATCTCTTGCCTGTTAAATCCACAACCCGTGATGCTCCCCAAATATCACTGTGAACAAGATGGAACGGTTTGGAAGGTTTGTAATTGTGAATAGGATAATTTTTTCTGGACTGTTTCGCAAGAATACATGACTCACAATGGAAAGAATGATCTTTATTGAGAAATAAATTTAGATAAAAATGTTTCAAATATTGAAAACTATGATGTCCTAAGCGTTTGTGCCATAGAATTACATCTGAATTCAACGAACTAGACGCAGAAAGAGATAGATGTGGTTTTGGCCTTGGAGAAGAATCAATGAGATAGTAGAGACCATGTTGTTCTTCAGCATTGCCAATCATCTTCCCCGAAGACGGATCCTGAAAAATACAACGATCACAAAGAAATGTTACTTTACAATTTTGATCCTTTTAACTTACTAACAGAAAGGAGATTATATCTTAAACTCGGAACATGAAAAACAGATTTCAAATAAAGTCCTTGGTAAAAAACATCTCCAACTCCAGCCACAATTATTGTATTCCCATTTGCCACTGAGACTTTTATCTCACCATCACATTTTTTATAATTCAAAAAAGTTGTATGATGTCCTGTCATWTGRTCTGATGCACCGGTGTCAACAATCCAGTCATTGAGATCATCTTTTCGTGATAATAGATATGATGAGATATTACCTCGTTGTGCAATTGCTGCTATAGGTGTAGAACCTGATGCCTCAGAAATCTATTGCTGGTGAAGAAGAGACCTTAAAATCTCCATTTGTTCCGGTGTGAAAGTTGTTGTGTTAGGCTTCTTTGTCTCAGCAGATTCGGCTACATGAGCTGAAGGGGTTGCCTTCCCTCTGATTCCGTGGTTTCCAATCTGAAGGTTTTCCATGAATGTCCCAGCAAGTCTTCTTTGTGTGATACGGCTTTTTGCAGTGTTCACACCACTAGTGGTTTTCTTTTTTCTTCTGAGGTTGAGACCGAGTAGATGCAAGTGCAGATCCTTGAGATTGTTCCTCTAGGATTCTGTGTGAGGATGGGTTCAGCATGACTTTCCTCCTGCTTTCTTCTCGTYGAACCTCARARAMCACCTCACRAAGTGAAGGAARGGGTTTGATTCCAAGAATACGACCTCGTACTTCATCCAGGTCTTTATTGAGTCCTTGAAGAAAATCAAATACTCGATYTTTCTCAAGGACTTGATTGTACAGTACTCCATCATCAGTACACTTCCATGGAATTGTATAAAATAAATCCATTTCTTGTCATAGATCAATCAGCCTGTTGTAGTACTCTGTTACTGACATTGATCCTTGCCTTATGTTCCGCAGGAGAGAACGAATTTCAAAACACTGAGACGTGTTTCCAAGATCTGAGTACATCTCCTGAACAGCCTTCCATATTTCGTGAGCATTCTTGTAAAACAGATACGTGCGTCCTATCTGCGGCTCCATGGAATAGATTAACCACGCCATGATAATGGAATTTTCAGCTTCCCATGTCTTGTAACTCGCATCACTGCTCGCTGGAGGAGGGATTTCACCAGTAAGGTAACCCACTTTTCCTTTTCCTAGAATCACTAACAAAACGGATTGAAACCATTCACGAAAATTGGACCCATTCAATTTGTGTTGGGTAATCTGCAGAGAATGGCTTATGTCAGAGGTGGTGAAGGAGGTTCCAAGGGATCTCGATGCATTCATGGTTGAATCTACTGCTGTCGAGTCCACTGTTGATGAAGAATGGCTCGTTCCAGACATCGTCVCNVGCTCTGATACCATGAAAAVAKAAACAAATRKTTGAAGATTTCTGTTCTAATTTCATTGAGAAGATCTGTACAAATATATACAACTTCTAAGAATCAATCTAGGAGCTATTCTAGGAAACTAACCCACTAATTTAGCCTAAAGAAAAAAAGGAAACTAAATCATAGCCTAAAAAAGGAAAATAATCACAGCCTAAATAAGAAAATAAATAACTAAAAAAAATAGGAAAGATTCTGACTCGGATTCCACAAGGAATAATCCTCGTCATCCCTTTCCAACAAAAACTACCCATTGGGTCTATATTATGTGACTAAAGAATTGTGAATTTGCAACAACTGGTGAATTTTTACATTTTTTTTTAACTTTATACCTTGCTTCAAAAAGGTGCACACCTTGCCTTGCGCTTTGGGCACAAAACAACCCTTGCGCTTTTAAAATATTCGTCAAATACATATTCATGTCAAGGTACCACCAATTATCTCAGAATGAAAAAGGCAAACAATTTTTTTTAAAAAAAGGTAGTTTAAAATCATAACTGTGGCTTTGTAGTTTTAGTTCGAACGGCCTTGACCACACGCTCCAAGCTAGATGTTTTTTTACGTTTGAGTAGACCTGAGTCAATTAAAAATAAGTAAATAATTACAGTAAAAAGGCTGAGATGTTATGACATAGGTCACTACTGTTAAGAAGGCAAATCCTGAGAATCAATCATACCAACACTTCTAAGCTGTTTTTCACGCTTTTGCATAGCAATGGAGCTCTTGTCCTGCCAAAAAATAACGCTATAGAGAATGAATATCACAAAAAAAGAGAATCACACGCAACAAAGAATGGATGCATAAATCAGTTCAATACTTCAAAAACAGCCTTTCAATAAATAATTAGGCTACACACCTTAATAATTGGGTCACCAACTTCCCCATTACCAAGAAGACGCCGGGAATGCCAACCTTGTATGGCACGAGCTGCAGCATCTCTCCGTGCCCTACCTGATCCTGGTGCTTGATTATCACCCCCCTGCAGACAGAAAATTCATAAGAATCAACACATGTAAAAATTCGAACATTTTGACTCTACAACCATATCCACATCTAAGCTCTAAATGAAATAAAATCGTGTTAGCTCAATTGGCTAGAGCATCATTTTATTAACACAAAGACTATAGCCTTGTAGGATGAAGTGCTACATAGACTACAACCTACAAAATACTGAATTACATATTCAAACTTCAAATTCAAGGTTACACATCAAAACAAGCTTTGTAGAGCTTTTTTTTCAAGGGGTAAGTTATGCTCCCCCCCCCCTCCTAGGTGCCTTTTTTTGTTGATCTAAAAAGATTCCATGGTGGCCGCCCCAAATCCGAGATATAGTTTGGGGTTAAAAAAAAACACGGCAACAATCTAGTTGAGGTGCATCTAGGTTCAGGGAAAACACACTCCGCAAAATAAGTCTCGCTTATGTGCCTAAGTGTGTCTAAGGCATGCCTTTAAGAACATCAGAATATCCCATCCAATTCGTTTTAATGCTTTCATTCATCTAGTCCAAACTTGAGTTTTAAAACACTACTTACAGTAACTACCTATTCTCCCACAACAAGTTCTCCTGATATAGTTCTGTCTTAGCAATCAACCCCATGTGCTATTTGTTAGGTTATGAAGAAGGAACATATGCATGTAACTTTCATAGTAGAAATGGCCCTTGGAGGAAGGAAGTCTATAGGGTAAAACCTGATTTGGTTTTCACTGGACATCCTTTCTAGCTGAGCTCAAGAATGTAAATAAAGGCTTATTGGTCTCACCGTCCCAGCTATCCAGGTAATTGGGAGGGGTGGACTGGATTCATACCTAACCTTTGGCATTTTTTCCCAAATGGTCAGCTCTCCAAAAATTCAAGCCATAGCACCCAAGTAACCATAACAGGCATACCATATCATCATCATCATTGTCTAAGCCTTGTTCCAACTAGGTCAACTACATGAATGCTGTTTCACCATTCCATTCTGTTCAGTGCCATATCCATTGTTAAATCATGAGCACTTAAATCATTTCTCACCCATGTCCCTTTTGGTTGGCCCCTAGCCCTTCTAGCCCCTTCAACTTGCAAAAGATCACTTATTCTATGTATACCAGGCATAACTTATAATGTTGAAAAATGAATATATTGCTCAAGCAATTAAAAATTAAAATAGAAAAGATTATGACCTGATTTTCACTAGGCTCAATTGAAACAACAGGAACATGGAGTTCACCACCGTGCATTTTATGCCTTTCATAGTCAAGAAGTGCCTGCAGAAATTGAAAGTCAGGAAACAAAGGCATGGACAAGTCTGGTGCAAATTAATCATGCATTTAGAAATGCACATATATGTGTGTACACACGCATACACAGCTATAGGAAGACAAAGAAAACCTTATTTTGGCAGAAATATGCAAATAGATTCAGAATGGATATGGAGAAGGCCAATGACATTGATGGAAGAATGGATCAATGGACATTGCACCAAACATGGTAGTCAATTATTGCCCAGATACCACTGCCAAAGACATGGTGATGTACATGCATCCCCGCTTGATACTTTACACCAACACCATCTCCTACGCCTAACTTGACCCATTGCCAATGAATTGGGTTTCACAACTTTCATCAAAGAGGCCCCTAATCTTACCCAGATAGGCAATTCATTGTCCAATTACCATTTTTATCAGCCATGGTCAAAGAGATTATGTTCAGATAAGAAAAAAAGTACACCCCTTTTCAACCGGATAAGCAGATAAAGGGAAAAGGGTGCAACGCCACAAGCCCATAAAGTAAGAAAGCATATCACAACAACCAAAAAAGAGGGGGGAAAAAGGAAAATGTGTGTGTTCCCCCAATTACAATTAAGCACTCCCCACACTCTCTCTTGCTCTGCCTTTCAAAGTGCCAACCATGAGATCCATCTAAATTAGCTGTTCGTTAAGACAATAATCTTTCCTCTCTTATATGGTGCAGAATGTTCCAACAGCCATGTGAAACTGAGAGAATCCAACTAATAATCACCTTCCACCAGTCATCATCTAGAATATTTACTTTCTTCAGGTTTAATTAACCCCAGTGGCTCATTAGGACACAAGGCATAAGAAGTCAATCCTAACACAAAAATCCCTACTAGGGTATGCTGAACCACCCATTTCACTGAACAGTCTCCAGATAGTAATAGAAAAATAGGCAAACCCAACTATTAAAATAATGATATTGTCCATGATATAGCATAAAATAAATACCAGCCTGATATCCAGATAGGACCAAGCATCCTCCTAGTGTAACTTGCCCAAACCAAGGTTGTTATCACAAACAGACCAACAAATTGTTTAAAATGATGAATAACGAAGAACCACAAAGACACCCCTACTGACAGAACAGTAAAGCTCTAAAAGAGAGTTCATTAACAATGCTTAAATATCAACTAAACCTTGAGAATTCTGTAATTCGTTTCAACTTTGAGCACCTCAAAAATATCAACATTTCAAACTTGCTAGCTGCTTATTATCAAGTCTCATTCAAAATTTTCAATATCTGGAAAGAAGAAAAATATCTGCAAGGGACATTTGAGATCTAAAGGTTCACTTCAATGCAAACAGAACCTACATTCAGGTCAAAATCAAAATTTCAGCCTTCGTCCCTCCCAACATCACCTTTTCATAAAAGCATCGGAATGACCAAGAGACAGTAGTGCATGTCCTGCAGAGTAATACATTTGAGTAAACAATCTGCAGAGCCAAATGAAATCAACAGAATGTATGAGAGGTTGCTACTTACAAATGAGAAATACAACCAACTATAATAAGCATTTTCCCGAACATATCTGACAAGACTTCATCAGCCTCATGTGGTCCTTATTACCTAGACAGCTAACTAACATGGGTTTCTAAATTCATAGACCTGAGCTTGTCACTCTGTACAACTTGGAAGGTTAATATTACCAATCCTTTGGCAAATACCATAGGTCTGAGGAACTTGGTGCACTACAAGACTCAATCTACATTTCTTTAGGGGCAACTCATCAATCCAAAAGGAGTCACATTTTCCTTACTTAGGGGGGCTTGAAGTACTCTCCCACTTGCCGCCACAATTTGCTTGTAGTAACCTACACAGGCAAAAATGATGCTGGTTATGCCTCCTTATTTTCAGAAGCCCAAGGTATATACATAAATTCCATCCACACATTAAAGAACTTAATTAAGTGGTAAGAACCCGATAGGGTACATAAGAAAATAATGCTGGTTATGCATCCTTATTTGCAGCAGCCCAAAATGTAATGCAGAGAACTCATCCACGCATTATCAAACTTGGTTAAGTGGTGAGAACCGGGTAGAGTACATTAGAAAATTTGATCGAGTACCTCAAAAACTTATATTAGTTTATGAGGGGGTTTGCCTACAAAAGCTCAACAACCAAGTCCCAAGGACAGATAGACTTCAGGATCGAGTTTTAGAAACTTGACATGAACCACAAACATATAAAAGCGGTTCTTACAAGACCATGCATACCTGGTCGTAACCACCCAATCTGTTCACAGCTCTCCATAATCTTAATCCAAAACAAGCTGAAGAGAATTAACCCAGACTGAAAAGAGCTCATTGAAAAAGCATTACTTGAAAAAAAAAAAGAAAAATGAGAAGTAACTTGAGGCAGTTCAGTCCTTCCCCATAAAACTTTGGAGGCTTGAACTCCACATTCCTCTCCCTGAAGAAATTCTCAAGTTCCTTCATGAACGCAGCTTGCTCCTCCTCAGTTCCCGATTCATCACCGACAGCCACTTGTCTGTCCACAGGAAATGACCAGTTTGAACCCTCCTTATTAATATGATATTCTTCTGCTGCCACCAATGCCTCTTGTTTTGACACTGCCCCCTTAAAACCATTTTCTTCAGGCGGAAGTCCCTCTTCTCTGTCCACCGTATTCTTATATTCGTCCGCGTTCTCCTCTTCAGTTTTTACGTCCGAGCATCCCTCAGTGGGGGTAGCAGCTTCCATCGGATTGCCGGGGTCTGTGTCCCCCGCGTCGCTTTTATTTTCAGGGAGTCCATTGGCATCAGCATTGGTGATTGCACCAGGGGTGGGTCCAGGAACAGGTTGAATCAAACCTTCATCACCGCTTAAATGGACCTCTGCAGGCAAGTCAAGATTCTTATCGTCAACGGAATGCCCATTTTCAATTTCAACTGGAATTTGGTTTTCCTCCAGGAGAGGTTGTTCTTAATGCTCGACTTCCGCGTGTATGGGCTCGTCGTTGGATACATCCGGCAAATCTTGTCCCATTTTGTGATTGTGTCTCATTATAAACACAAACAAATAGAATATAGCTCTCTATACCTTGTGAAAACCACATGAACTTTTGCGCGTTTCGCATCCTCTCAGCTCAACAAAGCTTTGTCGCAACTATATTGCGGAGAAATAAATACTCGATCACTCATCTGCGATACCCTAATCCTAAATAAGTAAAACATTCCAGTATCCAAGTTCAATTATTAGGGTTCGCGGTGTGCCGGTAAGTATCAATTGTTTTCGACGAAAAAGCTATAAATTTTTATTTCTACTTTTGCAAGTAGGTGAGTAGTGAAATGTAGACGAAGCTTGCCTGTTCCGGAGATTCACGACGAGAGAAACAAAGTCCTTAAGATAGAGCTCGAAGCTTGAAAATAGCTAAAATGGCGCTTCTAGGGTTTGCGTGCGGAGTGTCTTTGAAGCCGCAATCTACTAAAGCCTAGACGGTATATTACAAGTTTGCATTAGGCCCATTGCATAAAGAAAAGCAATGGAAATTAGATAAGACGGAGACACACCAGAAACCGAACCACTCAGAGTCAAAGCGCTACAGGTTCATCCCATTTCTTTTCCGCAATCATAAATTGCAGTCCAAAGCGCTACAGGAACAGTGGCTGGTATTTTCTTAGGGGTGACTGACATGAAATTTTCAGATATTCTGTGGTGGAGATGAGTTGACCTGGTTGATTTCGATGAAAGTATGAAACAAAAGTATTAAATGCAATAGGTTCAAGGTAATTAAGGCTAAATGCGTTTGGTTGAGTGCGATTTTATTTGCAATAATATAAATGTATAGGAGTGCAAATGAAAAAAATGTAAATTTTTGTTTAATTTTATTTTGGGTTTTATTTTATTCTGCTTAATGTCATAATTTACTTGAAATCAAACAAAATTAACTAAAATTTAAAACGAAAATGAGATAAAATTTGCATTCAAATCATTTGCACTGTATAATTTTGTATCAGTAGAATTTATTTACATTGCAACCAAACACAAAACAAAATATATAACTAAATTTTAATAATAAGGAAAATGTAAATCATATATCTTATGCTACCTAATGAAAAGCCGCCTTGATTAGAAGCTAAGAAATTATTCTTTTCTTTTTTATATTTAATTCAACGTATTAATAACTCTCAAAGCTAACTCTCGAAGAAAGGTGGTAATAGCGTGAGTGGGCAACTGGGCACTCAAGTGGTAGTTATAGATGTATGTGTTTTCTAGGAGACTACCTTGCACATTGTTTGAAAACAAGTGTTTTTTTTACTGAATAAAAACAAAGGGGTTTTTACTTTTCTATCCACCTGTCAACTCATAATTGATGTTAATACATGGGCGAGGCCCAAGTGGAAGGATGAAATTATGTACTAAGATTTCCAATAAGGAGAAAGGTCAAGGGCATTAGGAATTATTCCTCGAGTAGATGTTATGACCTTCAAGTCAATTGGGTAGAGAAAGAGGAGGTTGGGCCAAACAGGTTGAAATAATGTTGGTTCTAGATGAAGAGATAGTGTAGATAATTATTTAAAGAGTATTATTTCAAAAGTCACTTACCTCAAGTGGAGAATACCTATTTATAGTTGGATATTCGTGTTCCAGATGAATAGGGCTTCTGGGGTTATTGAGATGAGGATGTCTGTTGAGGTCGTCAAGAGGTTTCCTCTTCTCTAGTGGAGTCCACTTCCTTGACCATGCATGACACTCCTTAATCGTGCTCTTTCGTTACATGTGGTGTCAACGTAGCTTGAGAAATGGGGCGGTCACGAAATTGCCATGCGGTATCTTTGGTCAGTTCAACCATCACTCTAAAAGGTATAGGTGTTATAGGTGGAGTTGTTTGAAATGTTGAAATGTTGTAGGTTTGTGGTGGAATTTTGAATTATGAGGTGAAGTACAATCTACCTATCCCTAACAGAAAAAGTATATAACATGAAAAAGAAACATATTCTAATACATGGAAGCCAAAAATGATTATTATCAAAAGAAAATCATAGCAAACTGGGCTTAGTTTGGAAGGAGTACAAGTACAAATAGGTAGAGTATAAAATCTTGTATTTTGTAAGCATTTGTACTCTTTCCAAACTGAGCCTTGGAAAGAGTACTATGCACAATACAAATATATAGAAAATAATATAAATACAAGGCTTTGCACTGTACATATTTGTATTTATACTCCTTCCAAACTTAGCCTTGTATGTATTTTCACCATACATATTTTGTATTTGTATTCTTCCCAAACTAACCCTAACATACTTAACAAAAATTAAGGCCGCATTTGACAAGTCTTTCCGCACGGGCTTCGGGCTGCTTAGAAGCCCAAAAACCTGAATTTTGGGCTTTTCCTGTTTGGCAATAGAAAGATCTATTTGGGAAAAGCTCCAACCCATAAAAGACGCCCGAAGCCCGAATTTGGGCTTTTTTAGGAAGCTTCAAATAAAGCTTTTATAGTCTTTTAGCACTTCGTCTTCTTCAAGCATGTGGTACGATGCATATACTTGGGAGAAAATGGGTTATCTTTCCACAAAAATTATTTGAATATGTAAGTGGGGCCCATATTAGGTATTATGTGGGACCCACTTTGTAAAATGTATGTGAGCCCCACATACATGTCAACACATGGACCCTACATGCATGTCCACCAATGGTATGTGGGGCCCACCTTGAAAAATGTATGTGGGCCCCACATACATGTCCACACATGTAAAATGTATGTGG